TCCTCTGAGTCTGCAGAATGTGAGAAAACAGTCACACCACTAAGAGTTTCTTGGAATTGTCTCTAATTAGTTGCCCCGGAGTCGTCCAACCAAGTAACTTTCACTGATTGGTTTCCACCAATTTAGCCATGGCCATTGTGATGAACGATCTATCAGGCCTTTACGCAGTGATAGGTTGAAGCAGTGCTTTGGATTGAAAAAGTGACGATGGTTGTGTTATTCGTTGTCTGTGGGGAGTCAAACTGAATGTTTCAGCCAATTTGACACCCCTCATATTGTGTTTACTTAGTTCTGTTCAAACATATGGGGATTTCTTTTTGACATTAATGAGCACGCATTCTTGAGGTGCGTTAAAAGTTTCTTGGCAAGATTCGCCTGCAGTTACCATCTGTTGAACCAAGCCCTTGAACTGCATGGGTTCTTAGTTCTACATGTGTCAGACCATTTATTTTGGTTACAAGTTGGTCGGAGGGGAGAAAAACATTTGATGGAGAGTTACTGCCCTAACTAGTTGACAGTTCCAGTAGAACAGCTGTTTTTCCATTTATCCTACGCTTCTATCGAGAAGCATTTGCAGTACTAGATGGTCAGCCTCTTCTGCACGAAAGTGTGACTGAAGCAAGAGAACGCATTGTGTTCTCAATTTGGAACATACTTTAACTTTGAGGTCGACTTTCATAGCAGTACATTCCTCCACAAATCCTGTCTTTAACTTCAGACAACCGATGGGTGCTTGAGTCGACTGCTCATGGAAGACAAATGTTGCCGCATTCAGCCACGATGAACTAATTTCTGTGAGGGAGATTACAAATAGTCGATATCTGAGACTTACTAGATCTCAGCTGGAATCACAACCACAGCCAGGATTGGTCTTTCCATGCATGTTCCCCAGAGAACACAGTGGGGGGCGATGTACTCTAAACTACAGCATTTCGATTGACTGAGATACGACTTACCTGACTGTCCTTAGTCTCTCCCGTCTAGTTTGTAAGTTCGAAAGTTGGATTATCAGTAGGACCTGAAGGGGCGTTGGGACCCTCGCTGCGAACTCTGCAGGACTTAGTGATATACTTTATTTGGTCAGCTCATCTTGAAGTGCCCGACTACATTTATGCTTTCCACGTAACTTGTAGGGCGAAGTGTCCAGCCTACGTTTGCCACACAAATTACACTGATGCTTTAGCGATAGATCCGCATGTCAATATAAACTCAAGACAATTAATCAATTTTGCGTCGAAGTTCACAGAACAACAGTTGGTGAGCAAGCTGATGAATAAATCAAGCGGTTAACCTAGTGAAACACGAGAAGGGAAGTCATGATTTAATGAAGGTCAGTAAACAAAATAAGTCCTTCAAAGCATGCACAAGATATAGTTCCCTTTGACAACTTGTGATCCTAATCGCTAACTGTGCCTCAGATGACCTTGGCGTTTATCAGGAGGCCCAGTGTTGTGTGGTAATCCCGCATTATAGACTAGGACATTGAAGAAATTAAGGCAGATGGACTAATTATTTTTTGTCGCCACTCAATACTTGGTCTCTTGTAATATCTAGAGTGGGTCCTACAGTTGATTCCAATATCCACTGTCGTTTTTACGGGCTAGCATAAACCAACTTGATTTCTTTGTGCTTGCCTCTTGATTGCGTGGTATAGGTTCCTCATTAACTTACTCTGATTCTGACTTTCGCCAATCTGTGTAGCAATGATAGAATTAATGCTGTTAGTGAATCCATTCAACCATCCTAAAATGTTGAGATTATATGTTAACAGGAGTAATTTAAGCACAACCAGTGATGGATATGACCCTGGATAAATTCAGGGTTATTCCTTATTAACTCGCTATAATATTAAAATGGATGCAAAATTATCTACTGATACCATGTATAATGATAGAAGATAGCAGATGGTTTTGAATGTGTATTTATGTAAGCACACCGCTGGTGGGCAAGTGAAGCGGAGGAAATCTACTCAGTTACACAGAAGGGCCCTCATCATTGAGTAGAGAAAAAACTAACAAATCATAAAGAAGATGTAATTCATACATGGCTGATTGTCTCGTCCTTGTGTCCTCCTTAATCATCCAACGCCTCTGAGTGATAGTAGTGTTGTAAGGTCCTAGATCAGCCTCTCCCTTGAAGTGAATTCCCCAGAAATGTCTGTTCGATTAATCTTCATCTTGGTAATATATCTAGGGTTTACCACTGAGTTTATTCGCCCTCGCTTGGCAACTTCTGACTTAAGTTTGGTCAAGCATATGACATTAGTTGACTTCAATTCGCGAAAATATCAGTTTGTCCAAATATGTATAATACAACTACACGGAATAGGTTGACTTTATTTGCTGAATATTTTCCAATAAAGTTCCTATTCCAAACTGTTTTCAATAATCAATGTCTGCAAACTGACTGTGATGTTAAGAGTATGCCGTCAGAAATCCGTAATCATAGTTTACCGGAACTTGCTCTAATATTCACGCAAGACTAGCAACACTCCGTGACTCTCTTGAAGAGTTTGCTTTGAAGGTCCAGCTACAAGCAAGTAGTGGCGGATATGCTAGAGTCTTCAGCATGAGTTGTGAATTGATGCGTACCTACTTCCCGACATCCGAATTGTAACCCGAAGCCATGAATGCCTTGATGATGTGACAGTTCTTTCCCTTTGTTCCAAAAATCTGTGTCCTATTCATGTTCCTCGCTACAGGATGACTATCTGATATTTTCTGGCTGATCGCCTTTGTTTTCTCTACAGCAATAGTGACACATGGAGAAGAGACTCTGGTGCTGAGGCAGTAGACAGAACCTAGGGAATTTGTGGAAGAAACTACTTGAGCGGCTGAGAGGAGAGGGCCACCCAAAACCACATCGGTGAGATAGGACTTTACCAGACTCTGACTGGTGAACAGGTGTATGCTCACCTACCTCAGGTGCACCCCGCAACGTAGTAAGGAACAAAACGATTAGTTAAAGAAAATAAGCTCCATCACAGACTAAAGAGTGCTTCAGTGCTCGTACAAAATAAACAAATAAATAATTGGTACAATTAATTATAAACTGTTTGATAAGTTCGTAATGTTTCCATAAATTCGGATTTGCCATGAAATTCTGTTATCTGTAAAAAACACAATGAAAACTAGTTCGGGAACTCCGCATCCTAGATACGACTTAGAAAAATAAAAATCATTACTTCTGTGGGTTACATTTTGTGACACAGGAGGCTGTTGGTCGTTGCCGTTAGTTACAGAAATAAGACGGAAGTTTTTGGAGTGAAATACTCAGAAACAGACTAGCTTCTTAACCCAAATCATATAAGTTGTTAAAAATATTTGTTGTGTTGTCAGGGAACTACGAAACCATGCAAATGAAACGCACTTTTAAAGCACTTTAGAACATATTAATAAAAAAACTAAAGTCCTAAACGTCAGCATACTCTTATAATAGTGGCAAGCTGCAATTGAGAGTATATTTTTAGGTATACTCAAAATTATCTTATATAAAGATCTAGACAAAACGTGCGTGCAACAGAAACAGCCAGCTTGCAATTTGGACGTAATATTGACAACTTAAAAGGGGTAATTCTAATGAGGACAGAACTGAGTCATGTTTTGGGTTAAACAAATCAGTAAAATATATGATAGGCACTCAATACAGCAGACTGATAGACAAGACATATTGGAAAACACCTTCAGAATGCACATATGTCAGATCAAGGATAAAAAACAGAATAAATTACAAACTGAAATAAATACCGTACCAGCAGTTTAAGAGGAAGATGATTTCAAGGAATGATGAGTACATATGTTTTATCTGATGATTTTAGTTGCACGATGCAGTTCGAAGTATGCCATTTTCAAGGGGTTTGTTGTAAAGCTTCAGAATAGTTAATGTCAGTAATTTTTCGTGTTGCGAAAATCTAAGTGAAAAGATTAGTTTCGTTAACAGTAAAACCACATACATGCTAAAAATTTAAACTCACAGTGTACATTTCCCATAATGCTACTTTAAATGATGTCGGTCTAAATCATTATTTCTAGTAATCCAACGAACGATCTCCTATAAAGTGAAAACATCGGGCATTACTAAATTTAGGTCCCTAATTTGGGGTATCATGATGCTAAAATTAACATTGGGTTTGGCTATAATAAAACAAAGGAATGGGCATGAATAGCCGTACTTATTGGAACCTTATTAACCTCCAAAATTATGATTTGGTATAACAGGTTATCTGATGAGCCAGGTTTATGGCCAAGTTGTTAATGAAGTGAAGTGTGATTGTATGGCTCTTGAAGTTAGTAAGCCGATGAGCTGAGAAACTATCAGACAGCATAAGTTACTCGCTCCCTAGAAGCTGTTAAGTGAATGATTCCGTGGATGGTAAAAGTGGAAGATTTACTCAGCAATGGTTCAGGTTTCTTAATATATGTGCATCATGGGTAAGAAGTGGTCTTAAATTAAAGTGGTCAACTTGGATTATTTCTTTGGCCGGTGCTGTAGTCAACACTAACTTAAGACTGCTATTTTCTAATCGCATTCAGCAGTTACACGCACATTTCCACGTAGTGCCTAGCTGAGCCATTACTAGCTGGTCAATTTTCAAGAATGCTGCCTATTACAGACTAATTTTATATATCATATCCTGTGGTGCATTGTTTAAATATGTGAATGCAATGCTGTTCTTTTTTATTTCTTTTATTTCTCTTTTTTCTTTTTGTTGTTGTTGCTTTATATTTTTAAACCCTTATAAAATTTATGACGTAATTAGATGCAATATTGTAATGAACGCTGAAAATTCCATACTTGTACCACAAATACTGTTTGGAATAAAGCCATTATCATTATTATTATAAAGTTGCAAGCAATAAGGTATTTCTTTGAGCTTCCTTGTGAGTAATTCAGCTTTTCGATCATAAGTTTTCCTGAATGCTCTTTTTGCAAATGGGGTAATAAAACTAGAAATTTTGTCTGACCTATCTTTTCTTGAAGATGCATTCGGTTGAACCTATTTTGGTTATACGTATGGCGGTTAGTGGAATTGTGACCTTGAAAGGTAATTATTCGGAGCTGTGTAATACATAGCTAACATACGCCAGCAAATACGTACAGTTCTTATTCAAGTTCTCTTAAAGTACGTAACGCACTGCAAACACGGTTAGTTCGAGTCAAGACATGTTGATATCGTTAACTGGTATCATACATCACCATCACTTAGGTTCATAACTATAGCCAAATTATCAGAAGACATTGAAATGTCCATCGAACAATGAGTTCATGTCGTTTATTTAACAACCACTTGCATTTCTATGCCCTTAGAAATGAGCCACACCTAATGTTTAAAGGTTATTGATGCTAGTTATTTGCTGAAAGCATGGTAGGCGGGCAGCCCAAGCTTACAACAATTCTAAACTTATTCTAACCTATTCTCTGATAATGCTTTTTTATGGTAAATGAGGATTTTATCAACCTACTACTCTAGTCGTGCTAAATATGTCCTGTGAGGGCTGGAACAACGCTGATTAGGAAACCCGGTAGGTTCTGATCTACTCCTGAAAATGCTTAGGAAAAGAAAACACGGTGCTGTATTAGTGCCAGTCATGCTAAAAACCAGCACTGAGTTCTAGTCTGTGCCATTAAAGAATCCATTTCAGAACAGATTCAGAATTTACTCACTATAGAATGTTAGAATTCTTTCAGAATTAGTGAGATTTAATTCAGCATTATAGTAAGCTTGGGAGGTTACGAACCAATGACTCAGTGGTTAAAAGCTAGACGCATAGACTTCAGCCTCAGTGTAACGGTAGACTATATTCTGGAAAAATCAACTTAGTACTAAACAACTCAGATCACTTTTTGAACTCAACTACCTGGAAAAGGTCTTTCATGTTCTAAGCTATTAACCATACTTATTAAGTGTAAGGGTCAATGACTACTCTCCAGTTGCCTAGGCTAAAGGAAGTGTAGAGGGATCTGAGCTCGGGACTAGCTGGCTAGCTAAAAGTCGAGTGCTTAAGCCAACATGAGTCACATTTCCACTTCTAAATAGACAATAAAATATCCAAAAATAACTAATCAAATTGAATGTAGATTGCGTTTATAATTAGTAGTCTCCAGATAGATATTTTACACTTTTGATGAATTTACTCATGCTTAAATTTAACCATAATTTCATTTTTTCCCCATTTGTTTTTTATGTTGCCGTTATACTGTCCTTTAAAAATGACTGCTTAACATATGTGTTAATCGTATTCATCCTATTGATAGGAATTATTTCTTCCAATAATTATTCAAACAACAATAATGTGCATCTTCTGGTCTCTTTTCACACTGACCTTCTTATTCAGTTGTGTCCTTACGTCACAAACTACTTTGAATGTAAGTTCATATATACCTCAATCTACGTATCTTTAGGTTACTGTCAACCAGAATCCAGGCTGTAATCTTGGAGATAAATGTAAAATATATAATGTTATGTACATCAATGCTCGAAATACTACATCCTCTGTACATATATTTATCACAGCATCAAAACGTTTCACGTTTCCATCAGTTTTAATTGTTCACAGTTCTCTATCTGAGGCAAAACCAAATATTGACTGGAATAAATTGGATGCAACTTCGGGAGAGAGATTAAGTATAGACAATGTGACTCAATCATATGCCTTAGTGTTTTATAAGGTGAGTGAATGATATGTAAAGTCTTCAAGTGTAAACCCACAGCATTTTTTATAAAGGTTCTTGGTTAAATTAAGACATATTCTGGAGTTGTAATTTATAAATCTAGAATAACGATCTATAATCAATATATATATTATGGTTTCGACACTCGTTATGCGGCTTCAGAAACTATAAAGTATCACCATTCCTTATAAGATAGTTATCGACCATGATTTTACTGAAGTTGAAAGTGAGTGATTATCAGGGAAACGTCGCGTGCTTATGGAAGTCTGTCTGTTTTCGACATAGAACTTTGCACATATGTGTGGAAGTTCAAGTCGACACACTCCCTCCTTGTAGCATACAAAGCAAGAGAAGAAAGTAGGAGAAATGCATAATATAGACAGTAAACAGAGGTGTGAAACAAAGGTATAGTAATAACGAAGAACAAAACAGTTTAATTGGAAATCATGAGTCACAAGGAGTGGATGCATCTGCACCGGCCAGCCATTGAGAACGATCACTTTGAGCTAGCCATGTCACCAATTGTTTCCAACCTTCATTGGTTTTTGCCATCCCGAGGACCCCAACCAGTCAGGAAGTCTACACCTTCCTACGTGGCTTAAACTAACTGTTGTGGATTTCATTGACTGGTGCCGTATTTTGGTTTGACCGCCGCTAGCTCTTTTCCATTCTGACCCTGTATCAGCTAACATTGCCCATTGTCGAGGAAGGTGATGACTAGGCATGCATACGTAACACATGTCTTAACCATCTCAGTCGATGTAATTTCACAGTCTCGTCAACTGACTTCCCCTCCTTACCAACTAGCACTCGACACCTAACCTCAATATTGCTCGCTTATGGAAGTATGTAGCCAGATATTACTTCTCGACCGCCCACACTGTGGAAGTTGATTTCTTCCTAGAATACCTGAAGCAGAAGGAGTATTAGTTTTGTGTTACCGCGGAGTCCAGGGGACAAGTACTTCAGGCCGGTTACACACACGACCTGTTTGAAGTGGTATTTGGAGTGGTATCCATGTCAAGATCTTACCGCCTCAAGGTAAGTTGCGATGTACAGTTTTCGGGGCCAACCTTCTCTAACCTTGCCATTTCCAGAACAGAGACGTGGTATAACTTTTCATCTGCTTTTCATCTGAGGGGAACATCTTACTACTGTTACATCCATATTCCCCAGCATTACAACTTCACCTTCAGACCCCCCAGCATGATATCAACAACTTACACTAAGCTAGCAACTGATTTTAACATAACCACTATCCTAACGACTTTATTGAAATGGAAGTTTCGGCATGAAGATTCTATGCAACCATTGTATTCTCAAAAAGAATGCATTATGCAAAGTTCTCCATTTGACAAACAATTACTTTTTTTTGACCTACCACAAATCTTGATTCGATGAAGATAGTGAGAAATGTGGAGAGTTTTAAACGTTATCTTGTGACCTATAGAGGTATTGAATTGTCTGATTTAATTAGATGTGCTTCTTTCATGCTCTTAGAACATGAGAAATCCCAGGAATCTCAGTTTAAGTAATCATAATGAAGCGGACTAGCTAGTTCAATCTGCGTGTCATCCATCACTAATCAATGGTAATTTTTTTATTTTACTCCTTTGCGTCCCGCGTGGGACATAGGGCTTCAAGCTGCAGCTTTAAAGTCTCACTAGTAAGGGTGTTTACTATTTACTGGGTGGGTTTGCTAATCTCATGCCCAACCTTTCCTCTTTATTACGCTTACTATCAGCAGTTAAAGTAAATTTAAGAGTGCGTTGGTCGGGGATCGAACCCCGGACCACGTGCGTGGTTGGCGAGTATTCTTCCATGGGGTAACTATTAAAAACTAAAAAGCTTGGACAGTTTTTCAGTCTTAGTTTGATACATTTTGATGGTGCACATCCATGATTTCTTGTAAAATTGAACCCAAAGCACTTAAAGCACACCTTGACGACTCAACATGTTTTTGATTATTGCTGTCTCTGTCTGTAGGATCCCCCGCATCAGTAAGCGTCATCCTGTAAATAATTCTTTTAATTATGATGGCGTGTGTTGAAAGTTGTCTGTCAATAAAAATGATGTTATCTTGGTACACCACCAGCTTTGGCGGATCGAATATATCGTTCACTACTGTTTGCTACATCTGGATGGAAAGAAACTGAAAGGTGGTCAGTCGATGAAGAAGTACTGTGGGATAAAAGTTAGAGTTCTGTTGAATTAGGATCTGTCAGTGCTCCCTAAGTTGGGACAAACAGATTATTCGAATCAGCGGCTTGAGATGTTTGTTATCACTTATGGCTGAGAATAATAAATGAAAGGTAGTCAACATGTTGTAGTTTTCTCCTCCGAACGCTTCTTTCAATACTCTTGATAAGTATACCTGCTTGCTTTCACAATACTGTCCCTAAACTATATATCAATTGTTTTCCATTTATTACGTTTAATAATTTCTGTGTGACGGGAAGAATTGTTTGGCCCTCTAGTTTAACAATTTGGACAGCCCATTTCCATTCGGTCCGTTCTTGTACACTTTTCTCAATGTCTACAAGTCAAGACATCCCTGGCAGGACCTGGAAGGAGCGAATATATCTATGGGGAACAATAGTTCTCCTACCTACCGAGTCATTAACTCTTGAAACTAATTATGAGAAAAAACAACAACAACTGATGTCTGCATCCTCAATCAACTCGTTCTAGAAGGGATTAGACAAAAACAATATATATACTTAATTCCATATTAGTTTGTTTATTAGATATATCACACAGTGAAACAGTATTATTTACTGGATGACAAAGTTTCGAACAAAATTTATGGTTCATAATCATATCGATTGTGATCACACGACTTGGAAACTTAAGTTTTATAGTTTTCTTTGCTTTCTCCTATTTGTCGCCGTCGGGGTAGTAGAATTTTCCGGATATCGGGGACAGGTGATGAATCATTCCTATTACATGTATTCGCTCTCAGTTGATTCGATAAACAAAGCTTCTGTTATCAATCTCTCCCTATACCCTGTGACATTAGATTTTAAAACTGTCATCCTATCCCATCCATCCTATTGTATGGTTGTGTGTGACTGCATGTAGTGCTATAGCTGAACTATTCTCTAGATTTCTTATCTTATTTGGATCAACCAATCTAGATTTTGCTAAGTTTTTATGTTCAGCTAGTGTGACTGCCCCTGTTCTACTAGTTTGACCTATGTATTTGACCTGACAATGATTGCAGGCAGGGTATTAGATAAACTAAATTGTTTTGTTTTAAAGGCTCCACAGGATTGATACTTTAACCGACAAAGCTTGTTTCTAATTGAATTTGTGGGTTTGAATGCCAGTTACTTTTATTCCTGCCTTGTTAAGAATTCTGCGTAAGGCTTCCGAGGTTCCTTCCTTGTATGGAATTACTACTGATGATTTAGATTCCTTATTGTTGGTGTCGTCATTAATATTATACAATAGGATGGGATAGGATGACAGTTTTAAAATCTAATGTCACACGGTATAGGGAGAGATTGACAACGGAGGCTTTGTTTATCGAATCAACTGCAAATACGCGTAACAGGAATGATTCAACACTTGGACATCTGGAAAATTCTACTACTCCGACGACGACAAATAGGAGAAAACAAAGAAAACTATAAAACTCAAGTCTCAAAGCCGTGTGATTACACTTGATGAGATGATTATAAACAATAAATTTTGTTCGAAACTTTGTCATCCAGTAAATAATACTGTTTCACTGTGTGATATATCTAATAAACAAACTAATATGGAATTACTTACTACCACAATGCCCAAGTTTTACACATGTAACAATATATACTTATTAGAAAAGGATTAACTTTAAGCTGGAAGAAGCTTTCTATCCTGAACCAAAATTTCAAATCTAACTGACTTCTCAATGCCTTTCACACTTTACCGGTGTTATCGGGATTCCGGTGGAGAATAATTTTCACTTTTCTTCCCGTTGTGTTTTAAAGTCTCAATAGTGATGGGGTTGTGTTAGTGCTAAACCCGACTGTCCTCTTTTTCAACTGTAAGACCAGTTAGTAAACTATGCACAGATTACACACATTCATATTGAAGCTTCTCTGTTATTTTCTACTCCTCTGAACTTCACTTATTGTTTTACTTTTTTTTTTGTTTGTTTGGTTTTCATCTAACAACAGATGCTTGAATATAATGATCTCTCTGATAGTGTTAATATGTCTGCATATAAGAATGATTCTGATCAAATATTATTTCATCCATTGAATGAATACAACTGGGAGTTTAACACCTTAACTACCGTGAATAATTTATATGAAATTACATATAATGGAAGTAATAGTAAAATGAATCCAAATGGTGGACAAATTAATCTGAAAGTAAGTCTCATCTGTTGTTGTTGTTGTTTACTGCTTCAATTTATTTTCCTCGTTCTATGTGTCTCCTTCACGGCCGTGAAACCATGGTCATTGGAAGTAATGGAAGGGTCGCTTGTCTTTGACATGACCGTAGTTGTTTGCGTTAAGGAGTCTGTCTGTTTGGATTCAACATAGAACTTGGCACCGAAGTGCAGCAGTTCCAGTTGCCACGTTCCATATAGCACACAAAGGTAGACAAGAAAATGAGTGAAGAGAATCAATAGAGTTTCGACAAGTATAAGAGTGAAACAGAATGAGTAATGGTAGAAAGGAATATGAAAGATTACAGAGACTGAAAACATCTGCGTAAGCCATTGACAACGATGAGTTTGAGCCATGTCACCTATTGTCTCCAGCCATTGATTGATTCTTAGAGTCTCGAGGGCGGGCCCCAACCCGGAAGTCTGCATCTCCCTCCCTACCTGAATCAGTTTAACTGTCAAGGATTTCATGGATTGATGAGGCCATGTTTTTGTTTGGACACCAGTTACTCTTTTCCAAGCTGCACCTACCTATATCAGCTAGTAATGCCCGTCGGGGGTAGGAGATGGTTAGGCATGTGCAGCATGTGACCTAGCCATCTCAATCTATGTAACTTTATGGTCTCTTCGATTGGTTTTCCCTCTTTGCTCAACACTCTAAGCCTAACGTCAACATTACTTACCTTATTATACCACCTCCTAACGTGAGAAAGAGATCGTAAACATCTGTGATCAATCTATGATCTATTGGTTTCAACAGTTTTATCTAGTGAACTCTGGACTCAAATTTCACTATATATATTTCAGCCTGAAACCAACTGGGTAGTACTCAACAGTCAGTCAGTCCTCATGCACAATAAGTCAATCTAAGTGTTCATTCTTCAGCCTTGCTTTAATTCTTATTGTTCCTTCAGGTTCCTGTTGGAACAGCACTTCAAAAGCACATCAACATTTCACTTTGTCCTCTGCAGTTGTCCTATTTTGTACTGCTCGACGATCACCCATAAGCTTTGATCAACCTTTTCACATGATCTCCTCCATATCACCCTTGGATCCCCCTGTGTCTTTCCATTCGACAGCCTGGCGTGTGATGTCACCCAACGGTCTTCTCAGCGTGTGTTTGATCCATCTCTATTCCCTTTGACATATTCGTTAGGCAATAGATCTTTGGTTGATACGTTTCCTTGTAGTTCCTTGTAGCTAATCCTTTCTAGTCCAATTTAGTGAATGTTTATTTTTGCAACAGTAAAGGCTAAAATTGATCGCTTAACTGTCCTCTCTCACTCTACTTCGGCTATCTCCTACGGAAGGATGAGCCGGCTTCATGAACATCTCGAATCATCGCTGCCCAGGCGCGACGATCTGATGAAGAGAGTTCATGAAGCTTCATGGGAATTTGGTACGAGTGATGTCCCCAGAATCGCTCGGCCTTTTGTTTGAGAGTGCAGCTCTAGCCTTTACACAACCAAGTGTGACCTACAAGGCAGTAGGAGTGGAGTAGGGAGTCCACTATCCATTGGTAGCCGGTGACCGGAGTTCGGTTCATACACCTTTTTGAGTGGGGCCAGACATCCAGGAAATCCAACAAGCCCTTTGTCCATACGTCTGCCGGTGAGCTCCAGTGAGTTTCATACGCCAGTCGTTGGAGGTTTGGAATCAGGGTTTAGCCATCTCCCCTAGACTGTCATCCAATGGACAGTCAACCCAGTGAAGAGCGCCGGGCATCCGCTTTCGCCCTCTCACTTTGGTGAGAAGCACCTCCGCCACGTGAAGGCAGTGAGTAGGACTTCCTCAGGAGAGGCTATGTAAGACGCCCGGTCATATGGGAGCATTTCAAGAGGTGTGCGGAGGGGTGGCCAACCCGCAGCGCAAGGCACCCACCCCGACCATTCTGAGGCTTTGGAGGCTGGCTCCTCGACCGGGAATCGAACCCGGGCCTTCCACGTGACAGGCGGAGATACTCACCACTTAACTGTCCGTCCGTCCGTCTGTCTGTCTGTCTAATTATATTTGTCAAGATTAGCACACATGGAGCAAAAACGTTCATTGGTTCATTCACACAGTAGATGTTCAACTCACTTATATCAGCTATCATGGTGATGAATACTAATAATCAACATCCGAAATATTATCATAATAACTTTGTTATATGTTCACTTGTCATTATTATAATTATAATTATTTGGCTTTTCTACATAAATAATGGTTATCAACAGTATATTATTGATTTTTTTTTCAAGTGCCGTTAGTTATTTATACTGCCATAAATTACCAATCAAAACAACTGCAATTTCATATATTTATGATATAAGGTTACTTTGTCAATTTATATGTGATGGACGTGGTTCAGTGGTCCAAAATATCGAAACTCATGAGTTCGTAAATTAAACATCAAACCTTAGAAGAAATGAAAGTCAGTCAGTTTTCGACATAGAACTTTGCACATATGTGCGGAAGTTCAAGTCACCACACTCCCTCCTTGTGGCACACAAAGCAAGAGAAGAAAGTAGGAGAAATGCATATTAGAGAGAGACAGTAAACAGAGGTGTGAGACAAAGGAATAGTAATAACGAAGAACAAATCAGTTTCATTGGAAATCATAAGTCAGTCACAAGGAGTGGATGCATCTTCACCGGCCAGCCATTGAGAACGATTTTGAGCTAGCCATGTCACCAATTGTTTCCAACCATTGATTTTTACCGTCCCGAGGACCCCAACCAGTCAGTCAGGAAGTCTACACCTTCCTACGTGGCTTAGACTAACTGTTGTGGATTTCATTGACTGATGAGGCCATGTTTTGGTTTGACCACCGCTAGCTCTTTTCCAGCGTGGCCCTATATCAACTAACATTGCCCGTCCGTCGAGGAAGGCGATAACTAGACATGCACACGTAACACATGTCCTAATTATCTCAGTCGATGTAGCTTTACAGCCTCGTCGATTGATTTCCCCTCCTTACCAACTAGCACTCCACCGATAGCCTAACCTCAATATTGCTCACCTTACCATACCACTTCACACGGGAGATAGAACGCAGACACCAATGATCAAAGACAACTAATCTTTTCATGTCTTCCACTCTCAATGGCCAGGTGTCACAGCCATAAAGGAGGACAGAGATGGCTGCTGAGCAGTACACATGCCCTTTGGTCGATAGTCGGATATCACGTCAACGCCAGAGACGGTGTAAACTGGCATATGCGAAAGTAGCCCTCTGTATCCGTGCTGAGATTTCGTCAGAGATCAACCCGTTGGCGTTGGCTGATGGTATTTCCCAAGTAATTGAAGCGGTCAACCTGCTGTACCACTTGACTTCCTATTTCTAATCTAGGAGTCGGTGTAGTCCAATCCTGTAACATCATCTTACATTTTACAGAGGTGAATCGCATGCCAAACATGGGAAGAAGGAAAGACGGTTGCAGCGAAGAAAAATGCTGCTCTTTTCGACGAAGTCATCAACTAGGCTGTATATTAACAGATATATTATAGGGGGGGGTGAGAAAGTTCCCAAACTATTTCTCGTCAGAGGTCAGAGATTGAGTGTACTTCTTTTGTATACATGGCGTTGAAAGACTTTTCAAATGGAGCTGAGTATCTTGATTTTCATACATTTATTCCCCTTAATGAATTTGAACAAAGCAAGAACTACAGTTTTAGCAGAATAAAATGGTACCATGATTGTTTATTTCGTTGCCTTCTCGTCAGCTGCTTACAGGGAAAAGACATTCTTAAGTATATATACAAAAACAATTTCAACATACTTGCACAGAGTTCATTTTAAACAAAAGCAATCGATCAATATACACATACACTAATAATATATACACATATATATACAATATTAAACACTATTCCGAACAACAATAATCATACACAATGAAAACTTTTCAGCATCTCGCATTCGATTGAAAAATATCCAGTTACCAGGTTGGCAAAGAAAGACTGATAACCGCTTCTCTCTGAACGCATAAGTCAGGTTTCAGGCGCTTGATGGAAATGGCTTCAGCAAACTTAAGGAGAATTGACCTCTTTTGCTTATTGATAATTTTGAACGACTTTTCGAAGTCCTTAAGTTTGCTGAAGCCATTTCCATCAAGCGCCTGAAACCTGACTTATGTGTTCAGAAAGAAGCGGTTACCAGTCTTTCTTTGCCCTGGTAACTGGATATTTTTCAATCGAATGCGAGATGCTGAAAAGTTTTCATTGTGTATGATTATTATTGTTCGGAATTGTGTTTAATATTGCATATTTATATGTATATATTATTAGTGTATGTGTATATTGATCGATTGATTTTTGTTTAAAATGAACTCTATGCAAGTATGTTAAAATTGTTTTTGTAGATACATTGAATAATGTCTTTGCCCTGTAAGCAAGCAGCTGACAGGAAGGCAACGAAGTAAACAATGATGGTGCCATTTTATTCTGCTGAAACTGTAGTTCTTGCTTTATTCAAATTCATTAGGAGGATAGTTGGTAATTTAACACCAACGCTTCTTCTTCTGTCTGTTTTATTTCATCATTTAGGTCTTTTATTGTGCTACTTAGTGTCATTGCTCGGTTTGTTAAACACTTAACTAAACCTGCCTTAACAGTTAAAGGATGAGATGAATTAAAGTCTAAATATCTATTAGAATGCGTTGGTTTTCTATAAACACTAGTGTGTAATTTGCCTTCTTCTATTCGTTTTATTTTACAATCTAACATAGCTAATTCTCCTTGTTCATTTTCCGATTCAAATGTGAATTTTATTCCCTCCACTAGTGAGTTTATGTGTGTCAAGAAGCTAGAGATATGTTCTGTTTTTAACACTGTGAAAGTGTCATCCACATATCTCCACCATATTTTCGGAGTAGGATTAAACGTATTAAGAGCTATATTTTCACAGCTATCCCAAATGTGTGATTACCTTGATATGATTGATTATGAGCAATAAATTGTGCTCGAAATGTCGTCATCAGTAAACATTACTGTATAAAACTTTGAGACTTTATCAAAACAAAATTTACCCATACTGGAATTATTTGATGCTTTATTGTTATGCTTATTAGTGCTTTGTCTAACTGGCTATGCTTTTTGTTATTCTAATACCATTTTTTGTATTTATCATTACATCATTACATTCAATTCGCTCTCCGTTTGTCTCTGTCTCTGGCGCAAATTTGGCGCACAAATGTGTTTTTGTGTGTGTTTCAAATAAGCTATGTTCAACGAACAATTTTTCATAGATGTATACGACTACTACTACTACTACAACAATAGAAGCTTTAGTATTCAAGTATTGATTTGTAGGGATTTGGTTGATTGGTTACAGGATTTCATCATGAGCTGACATTAGTTAGAGAACCATTGGAAAACCAGCTGGGAGTACTGGACAGCTGTTTCGCCCTAGTTCGGGACTCTTCAGCAGTACGCACCCACCTGAGTTCGAACCCAGTAATTTCAATTTTGATCACTAACTGACTTCAGTTGGACAACCACAGAAGAAAACAGCTGCTTCATCCGAGTCTGGGACTCTTCAGCACTACACACACACCCATGATCCCACCATCAGCAATCGAACCCAGGACTTATATAGGTTATGCTGCGAGTTCGTAGACAGACCATTTAACTACTAGGAGAGAATTCAGTAGCCTCTTTTGGGGTCCCGAACTGCGCCCCCATGAATTCTAGCTTCTGTTGTTTCGTGATATTGCGGCACCCGCCAGTCGATGTCCAACGTGATGGATCAACTAGTCACTAATTTCTACTGGGATTTCAGGTAACGTTTTTTTGCGTAGTCAGTCACTAATGAGAAGAATTAGACTGACTCTTTAAGTGTTAGGTTGCAGGGTGATTACTGATCGATGACGCCGGCTGTTGGTGGCGCTAAAAGCCATGACAGAAATTAAAATTCACGGGCTATTAGATGCCATCCTAGCGGCTAAAAATAGTCACCGAGCTCGCCTTGCAACCTTGAAGGTCCTGGGTACAATCTCTGGTGGAGAGTTATGGGTGCATATTTACTGAAGAGTCCTTAACAAGGACAAAACAGGTGCCCAGTACTCCCAAGTTTTAATGGATCTCTAATTGAAGTCAGTTCGTGATGCATCTTGAAATCAATCAAATTCCTGCAAACTAACCCTGGGGTGAATATTATATTAATTATTTTTATTATTATTAATTCCTTCAAGTTCCCAGTGGAACTTAGGGCTCCCAGCTAGAGATTTGAAGTTTCTGTAGCAGTGTTCATTTTTACAGGATGGGGTTGCTAGCCTCGTGCTCAACCTTTCCTCTTCACCAGCTTTTATTTCTGGCTTAGCGAGGTAAAGGAGTGCGTCTGTGGCCGGGGATCGAACCCCGGACCATGTGCATGGTCGGTGAGTGTCCTGCTGTGCCATTCTTTATCACGAAACACAATGTCTTCTGTAGTGAATTATGGATCATGAATTGACTTTAGCTGAAGAAGAACCATTTAAAACCATTAGGGTGTACTGGACATCTTTTTCTTCCTAGTTTGGACACCCATTTGGATTGTCTCTCAGTGGATGAGTGTGATCAAAAGGCTTGCCTCGTTGTCGGAAAGTCCTAGGTTCGCTCCCCAGCTGGGTATTGGGCGCGTACTGATGAAGAGTCCCACACTAGGGGGCAACAACTCTCCAGTACTCCATTGACTTTATTATTCTGTCGTCAGACACATTAACTAACCTTAATTAGTTTCTATTCTATATTGTCAATGTGTATACCACCGCTGTGTATCTATCTCTCTGTTTTTCTTTCTCATGTCTTCCATTTCAGTTTCGTATAAGTACTACAACAGAACGAAGTGAAAAAATGCCACATTTATTATTCCTGCCTGGTTTAATTGTACAGCACGATGTTGTCTTCAATAATCTTACAAGTCACTTCAATCAAAGTCGTTTCAGTCTACAATTAGTTATGATATCAAGTGTAGCTTTAGAGAAAACAGAAGAATTTCGTCGACACACGCTGTTTAGCATTGATGATGAAGTGACACCGGGAAATTTTGAGGTAAAATAAACTTCTTTTTTTCTTCTTTTGTGTGTGTTTTCGTATGTCTCACTTTTTTCACGTGTGGTGACCGATACACCGCTTTCGTATCAACCAGCATAGCTTGCCAACCAACCAGACTCAAGAGTAATCTTAACACACCATCTGACGGTTGTTTCTCTACTTTATGTATGTGATCGAGCGCATTAGCCGTGTACACCTACTTGGTTTGATTCAGCTGAGAAAGCTGAACCAGTTCAAATCACTCAAATTCTGGCTACATGGTTGGTTACACTTGGGTCAACTTGTCTCAGCACATTGGATTGCGCGAATTCGACTTTAGGCTGAGTCCGACTCCGACCAGGTAGGTACAGCATTGATCATCAGCTTGACTCCGTGGACGAGAAAAATCATTACTTGGTGGTTATTTAGGTCACTATGATTAGATAGAGAAAACAGAGGCGATGAAGATTCCTGGGAAACACCACCAACAGCAACAACAACAACAACAGACAACAATCTGCATAAACGGGAAGAACCTGAAAGAAAAAACCTCTTTTACCTACCTATCTGGGAAGCATCGTTTCAACTCTAGGCAGATGGAACTGACGAGGATATCAAAGCAAGGATCGATCGGAAAAGCAAGACAAGCTTTCACTACTCTCAAGTCTGTGTGGAGGTCAACACTCAGCACTCAGTATCAAAACGAAGATAAGATCCGGATTTTCACCTCCAATGTGTAGTCAGTCAGTGCCACTTACTATACGGATGGATCAGAGACTTGCACTGCGCGTCATAAAGAGCATCTCAAACAAACTACAAACCTTCATTAACAGCTAGCTGTCTTCGCTCAATACTACTCAAGATCAGATGGCCGGCCGGCCAGAAAACATCAGCAGCAGAGACGGATCTCTGGCAATGAGCGAACCAACCAACACAGCAGGAACCAACCGATTGTGAAACAAATAGGCAGGAAGAAATGGAGATGGATGGATTGGCTGGCCATATTCTGAGGAAACAAGCCATCAAGTGAGTGACATCACTAGACAAGCCATTGGTCGAGTGGAACCCGACCGAAAGGGAAGCGGCGGCGAGTTGGTCTGTTGTCAGTGGAAGGGTGAGGGTGACTTGGAGGAGGTCATGTGAAGGAGAGATGAAAACGTGTGGACAGACTTGTAGCCAGGTGAAGACTGTAGCAGAGAACCGAAGGCAATGGAGACGCACGGCTGAAGCCCTATGTTCCTCTAGGAATTATAGGAAACAATAATAATTATACAATGGTTGCCATTGGGAGTTAGTTACTAATGCGATGTTTCTAGTCTCCTGTGTGTTAGTTCTGACTGAATTCTCTCGTCAGCCAAGTTTACACGAGGTGATCACTAATGCTGGTAACTCGCTATTGCAGTTCAAATGTGTGAAACCTAATAGCTGCTCAGTGTTAATGTCTCTGGCTGCAACAATGGGTGTGACACGCGTCCAAATCTCATATAAGACATTGATTCCTATGTTTTTTTTTCAGATACACACACACCTTGCTGATGAGTAAGTACTGAAAAGCACGAAATCCAGTGTGTGAGGACTGCTTGTAGATCACCACCTTCGATCACCTCACAGCAACTTCAAAATCTCCAAAGCTGATATCGTAAAGTAATACCATTAGTTTGAGAATCATTTGGACTTTTCAACAGTGATTACTTACAACGATGACTGAGGAGTCCCAAAATGGGACGAAACAGCTGTCCAGTACTACTCCCTAGTGGTTTTCAGTCGTGTCCTAACTACCTAAGTCAATTCCTCATCAAAACTGAAATCAATCAAATCTCTACAACCCGCTATACTAATTTGTAAAAAATTATATTTGTAAAATCTCAGCGAGATTGAAATGAGTAATTCCAACGTTTCCTGTGTGTTCGGCAATCTGGTCCGAACTTCTTCAGGGAAATTAATCGAAATTAACATAACAGAGGTTTATATATAAAAGGAACATCACTTGTTTTTAAAAACTTTGTCCAATCATGAGTCATTCAACAAGTATCAACAAGTATAATAAACAAAATTTTATGAGCTGTGATCAAAATTTGACCTCGGACTTACAAATATTGGTCTACCTTTGTTAAACACTTTAAACAGAGTGTGTATGTGTGTGTGTGTGTGTGTGGGTAAACAGTTGTAAAACATTTCTTAACGTCTCCATAAGAAGATATGGACAGTTGAGAATTTTGACCAAGTATTAATAATTAGTGATACATATCCATTTTTTATTTATTAATAAGGATTTCCTATACATCAGCTAACAAGATCACACTTTCATGTCTGTTCAAACTGTTAGTATCTAGAATTTTATGATTAGACGTATTTTCAAAATTATGGTGTTTAGGATTAGAGTTTAGTAGAAGCACCCTGTCAGACTTATTGCTTTGTCTTCTTTCTGAAGGTTGAGCTGCTTTATTCGACCTCCTGGAGTTGTCAGGTGACTCGACAGCTACGGATGTAGGATATCCATTCTGTTGCAGACAATCCACACACACATACACACTCTGTTTAAAGTGTTTAACAAAGGTAGACCAATATTTGTAAGTCCGAGGTTAAACATTTTGATCGCAGCTCATAAAATTTTGTTTATTATACTTGTTGTTGAATGGCTCATGATTGGACAGAGTTTTAAAAACAAATGGTGTCCCCCTTTTTATATATAAACCTCTGTTATGTTAATTTCGATTAATTTCCCTGAAGAAGTTCGGACCAGATTGCCGAACTCAGGAAATGTTGGAATTACTCCTTTCAATCTCGCTGAGATTTTACAAATATAATTATTTTTTTTACAAATGTCTACTTCACACTCGGTGCCCAAATATTTTAGAACTATTCTGTCAAATCTTGACGACAGTTCATTTACATTATACTAATGTGCTTTCGGCATTTAGAAAAAGTGAATTTTCACGCAGATGATGAATGAAGTGTCTTCCTGAACAACTAATAATGATATTAATTTCATTGCACTACCCCTGTGTTCTTTCTCTGTCAAACGATACATGTGTTTCATCAAAAAATCCTGTAACCAATCAAATCCCTACAAACCAACACTTGAATATCAATGAGATGCTCACTAGCGACTGGCCCTATTCAGGTAGGTAGTTACCTGGGTGGGTTCTAGTGAGAAGTCGTGACCAGTAGGGTCCAACAGGTCGGGTGTGAGGACAAATACTCGCCACCGAAGACATTGACTAGCGGTTGCGCTATATCGTGAATTGGCAGAAGTTAGAATTCATGGACGGGCCATTGGATCGGGTCCCAGTGGCTTAATGGTCTACGAGCTCGCTCGCCTTGTAACCACAAGGTCCTGGGTTCGAACCCCGTGTGGTGGGTGTGTACTGATGAAGAGTCCCAAACTAGGACGGGGGAAACAGCTGTCCAGTACTCCCAGCTGGTTTTCCAATGGTTCTCTAACTAATGTCAGCTCATGATGAAAATCCTGTAACCAATCAATCAAATCCCTATAAACCAACACTTGAATATCTGTTGTATTTCACAAAAAGTATTTTTTTTTTGTTTGTTTGTTATAGACGATTAATTTACTATTGAATGAACCAGTTTCACGAATGAATACAACTATGAATTCTACTACTCAACCGACGGTGAAGAAGCCCACTCATCATCAACGCCCATTGCATCATCCCGCAGCTTTTATGCAAACAAAACCATTGTGCTTCATCGATGATGAATTAAGAACAGTACAGAATAGTCGTAATATTTATGTAGCTAAACATCAAGATAATTTAATGCCAGAGGATATATCAAATCTTAGCAATGCATTTCCATCCGTATTCTATGCTGATCGTCTACGTCCGGATAGTAAGCTATCATCACCGCATGTTGGTATGCGTATGCTGAATATCTCATTTGGTTCACCAATGGATGGATTCTATGCTAATTCGAAGTATATTGTTTGGTAAGTTATGTATTGGCTGTAAGGGCTTATGAGGAATCGCCATCTGAATTGATTGATAACAACCAGTGGTGTCCGTCAAGGATGTCCACTTTCCCCATTTCTGTTTAACTTCATCATAGATATGCTAATGGAAGTATCTATCCTTAACTGAACTTAACGACTGAGGAATCGACTTGTTACCAGGGAAGGATGCTGACAAAATCTAGCAGAAATCTTCGTATGTTTGGCATGCGATTCGCCTCTGTAGAATGTAAGATGCTGCTACAGGACTGGACCACGTCGACTCCTAGCTTAGTGATAGGGAGTGAAGTGATAGATCATGTTGACCACTTCACCTATGTGGGAAGTTGTATCAGCATCAATGGATTCATTGGTGACGAAATCTCAGCACGGATCCAAAGAGCTCGAGCTGCTTTCGCTAGCTTGCACCATCTCTGGAGTAGGCGTGACATCCGACTATCAACCAAGGGACGTGTGTACTGCTCACCAGTTCGCTCCGTCCTTCTGTTTGGCTCTGAAACATGGCCAATACGAGTTGAAGATATGAAGAGGTTGACTGTTTTTGATCATAGATGTCTACGATCTCTTTCTCACGTTAGGTGGTGGTATCATAAGGTAAGTAATGTTGACGTTAGGCGTAGAGTGTTGGGCAAAGAGGGAAAATCACTCGACGAGGCTATAAAGTCACATAGATTGAGATGGCTGGGTCACGTGGTGCGCATGCCTAACCATCGCCTCCCCCGACGGACGGGCATTACTAGCTGATATAGGAAGATGCAGGTTGGAAAAGAGTAAGTGGTGGCCAAAAAAAACATGGCCCCATCAATCCATGAAATCCTTGACAGTTAAACTGAGTCAGTCAGGTAGGGAGAGAGATGCAGACTTCCGGGTTGGGGACTGCCCTCGGGACTCTAAGAATCAATGAAGGCTGGAGACAATATGTGACATGGCTCAAACTCATCGTTGTCAATGGCTTACGCAGATGTATTCAGTCTGTGTAATCTTTCATATTTCTTTCTACCATTACTCATTCTGTTTCATTGTTATACTTGTCAAAACTCTATTGATTCTCTTCACTCATTTTCTTGTCTACGTTTGCGTGATATATGGAACGTGGCAACTCGAACTGCTGCACTTCGGTGCCAAGTTCTATGTTGAATCCAGCAGCAGCAGCAGCAGGTAGTTGGCACTCGTCAGGAAGGCGTATCTGCAACCTTGAAGGAACTCATGTCCCTTCTGATATTCGAACCCGCGTCACCCAGTGCTGCCTACAGTCAGAGACGTTACCAGTGAGCTATTTCATTTTCACTGAGCTTCACCACTTAGCCTTCATTTTCCATCTAGACTCATGTTTTCACAGCTAAATTTAAACTGACTGAGAGTGTTTTGACCAGTTTCTCGTTTATTTTGGGAGGTTGCATCAGCCCTGTCATCATCATCATCTTTGTCATAGGGGTATCTCTTCATCAAAAGTTGCATTGTAGCGTGTGCTACTGATAAGATTTATCAGCAGTATACATAAAGGGACGTCCATCGGCTGGTGAAGAGGAAAGGTTGGGCATGAGGCTAGCAACCCCATCCCGTAAAATAAACACTGCTAAAGAAACTTCAAGCTACTAGCTTGAAGCCCTATGTTCCACTGGGGAACGTGAAGGGAAAAAAATGAAGACTAGCGTGGTATACATCAACTTGAGCCACCTCTGGCGCCGTCGTGACGTTAGCCTGGCTGTCAAAGGTCGGGTATACAATGCTTCGGTATGGGCTGTCTTGCTCTACACCTGTGAAACCTGGCCTCTCAGAGCTGAGGATGTGCGGCGACTCTGTGTGTTCGATCATCGCTGTCTCCGCAGGATTGCTTGCGTTCGATGGCATCATCTCGTGAGTAATTCTGAGGTTTGGCAGCGTGTGTTTAAACACAGTGGAGATCACCATTCATTGAATGTCGTCATCTGGAAACACCGACTCCAGAGGCTTAGACATGTGCTACGAATGTCATCCCAGAGCCTTCCGTACAGGTCTCTGTTCTCTAGCCAGCCCTGGGACGGGATGGAAAAGGCGGAGGGGTGGCGTCTTGGGATGAAGGATATTTGTGCTAGATTAGCATCGGTTGGTTTGTCACGACTCCCTGGTTGGGGTCTGAGAGATAGCTCAAATCGATGGCTCGAAACGTTATCGGATATGGCCAAGAATCGTAATCAATGGCGAACGTGTTGCGATTTCCTTCTTTCTTCCCTTCCTGAACTTGTTAAATATGACTGTTTTCCTTCCAGATGAAGTTCTTTATCCGTTTTCTACTTATATATCTTTACTTTTAATCTATGTTGTTTTATTATTATTGTGTGGCGCATCTTTCTTGGTGCCATATTGTACCAAGTTTTTTCTGCGTTTAAATAATCAAATAAATAACATAAAGAGACGTCCATCGGCGTGAAAACATCAAATAGCACAGAGATAGACTTGATGTCAGTGAGAGGAAATGATGATAGAGCGTTGCGGAGATAGATACATGGGAGACGTGAAAGGAACACAAACACAAGAAACACAATCTGAAGGTCAGAAGTAGCAAACACAACACTGGAGATCTGTGCAAATGGTGCTGGTGTTGAGGTGAGGATAAGGTGTACATAATTTCCCTATATATAAGAGGTACCAAATTCCAAATAAACATTCCTTTACCAAGTTGGTCAGTCATCTTCTACCATTACAGTATGTACTCAGCAGCGTTTAACTCCATGCCAATCATGTTCTGACCAAATTGCAACTCTACGCATTATCATCGAACAAAGCATGGAATGGCAATCAAATCTCTACCTCAACCTCGTAGACTTTGAGAAGGCCCTCGACAGCGTTGACTGCGAAGTAATTTGGAAACTACTCGAGTACTACGGCGTACCCCAAATATTCATCAACCTTATTCAACAGCTGTACGACAACGCCACATGTCAAGTGATCCACAACGGAAAACTCAGCGAGGCATTTGGAGTAAACACAGGAGTCAGACAAGGGTGCTTATTATCATCAATGATATTCCTAATTGTGGTGGACTGGATTATGCGTCAGACAGTGGGAAACGAGAAGACAGGGATATCCTGGACCACCGACGTGAAGAACCTAGAAGAACTGGATTTCGCGCGTGGATGATTTGTGTTTGATGTCACACAAAATCGAAGACTTACAAGCGAAAACCGACCAATAAAATGGTAGAAGAAGCAGCCAGAGAAGACAGGACTCCAGGTGAACATAGACAAGATGGAGATTATGAAAATAACCAACCAACGACAACAACAACAGCTACCTACATCCAACGCCAATCACCATCAACGGGAGGGATTTGAAAGAGGTTACTTCATTCACTTATCTAGGGAGGGAGCATTGTCTCAAATAAAGGAGGAACCAATGAGGATGTCCAATCGAGAATCGAGAAGGCGAGAAACACATTCATCAACCTGAAACCAATCTGGAAATCTTCCGCTGTCACTCAACTCAGCCTGCATCAACAACAAAATGATTCGGATTTGGAATACAAACGTCAAGTCAGTCAGTCAGTCAGTTCTTCTATACGTATGGATCAGAAACTTGTTGGCGGGTCACAAAGAATATTTCCAACAGCCTGTTGCAGACGTTTATCGAGAGCTGTCTTCGTTCTGTACTCAAGATCAGATGGCTGGAAAGAACAAGAACCAACAAGAAACTATAGGAAGAAACAAAGCAAGAACCAATCGCCCAAGAAATATGCAGGAGAAAGTGGAGATGGATTGGAGACTCGCTGAGGAGGCGGCTGGGTGACATCGCGCGTCAGTCAGGCCATAGCTCGAGTGGAACCCGGAAGGGAAGCAACGAGTGGGACGGCAGTGCAAGGGTGACATGGAGGAGATCGTGTGAAGAAGAGTTGAAAGAGTATGAACTAACATGGATGGAGGTGAAAAGTACAGCAGAAGACAGAAGCAAGTGGAGACGTGCAGTTGAAGCCCTATGTTCCACTAGGAACCCAAGGGAACAATAATGATAAAATCTTTACAGATGTGTTTAGTTATCGTTGATAAATGGCAGATCTGAAAAGGCTAGTTAGTCTTTTTCGACTATAAGTGTCCGCGTTCTATACATCATACCAGGTGCGTGAGTGATTGAGTTTCAATATAGAGAACTTTGCATAAAAGTGAAACAGTTTAAGCTTCCACACTCTCTGCATAGCACACAAACGTATAGAGGAAACTACTCGAAAGTACTTTAATGAACGGAAATATATACTCAAGGAAAACTGAAGAATACTGAGGATCTAATCGATCTCGGAAATTGTTTAGAGAAGAGAACATGCATATGCGCTATTAAAAACGTTTTTAAACCATATCATCAATATTGGCCAGTCATTGATTGATTTTCAGCGTTTCATGTTAAGTAGTTGTATAATGTGATCAACTTAAATGTTGCCTAACATTCAGCTGTCACCTAGAGTAGGTACCACCGAGTTCGAGTCCCCACTCCATTTCACCTACTTCAACCTGGACAAGACAACTCTGTGTAGTATCAGTCGTATCAATGATTGTGTGGCTCATATAGAGTCTGAAACATGAAATATCTGTTCCGCCTAACTGACTTCAAAACGACTGGGAACTGGCCCTATTCAGGTAGGTATTTACCTGGGGTTCCAGTGGGAAGTCGTGACCAGTAGGGTGCAGCAGGTCGGGTGTGAGGACAAATACTCGCCACCGAAGACATTGACTAGCGGTTGCGCTATATCGTGAATTGGCAGAAGTTAGAATTCGTGGACTGGCCATTGGATCGGGTCCCAGTGGCTTAATGGTATACGAGCTAGCTCGCCTTGTAACCAGAAGGTCCTGGGTTCGAATCCCTGTCGGTGGGTGCGTACTGCTGAAGAGTCCCAAACTAGGACGTAACAGTTGTCCAGTACTCCCAGCTGGTTTTCCAATGGTTCTCTAACCAATGTCAGCTCATGATGAAATCCTGTAACCAATCAACCAAATCACTACAAACCAATACTTGAAAACAATATTCATGAATATATTCAATCTCATATCTCGATCAGAGTTCATAAAATCACCCTTCTTTATATCTTATTACTTTCTTTTTTTCTAATAAATAGGACTGCCTCATTTGGATTAGGCGATGCTCCAGCCGATAGTCTCTCTTCTCTACTCATCGGTTTAATTATCTTTTCAACAGTAATTGTTTTATGCTCAGTTATTGTTGGCAGTGTTCTCACAGTTGTGATGCGTCGACGTGTTAGAAGACAGAACAATTTTAGGCAATTTGTCAATGATCCTGTGGCATAGAAGATGAAACAACAACAAGAACAAACAAATCACCACTACTGCTGTTTTGTTTTTGAAATAATATCCACATAACCTTTTTGTTCTCTCCCCCCCCACCTGATTTTTTCTGTTCAACGTGAAAAACATCTACGAAATACACGAAAAATTATCCCCAATTTATTTACATTCCATTGATTGATTTATGTTTGTGTGTGTGAGTGTGTGTTGTACTATACTACCTCACACACACACGCATGCATACACACACACCCCTCTCATAAATACATTTATTGATTTTTGTAATATTTACTTTTTCTTTTGATTTTTTTTTCTCTCGCTGACGAAAACTTGTGCCTTGTATTATTATTATTATCATTATTATTACTATTATTTCCGATCCTTCTTTTTCGGTTAAAAGTACACTTGTTACTATCAATTATCATTTAATGGTGTTTTCAAGTTAAATTGAAGATGGCCGGGGGCTGGGGTGGGTTAGGATGGTTGTCAGGGGAAACCATTGACTTCAGTTAAATAAATCAGTTGGAAGGAAAATTGTAGAGGAAAGAGAACAAGAAGCTTAATAGGTGGTGGCTTACAGATTACATCATTCCTGATCAATGTTACTTTTTATTTGTTTATTTTTCCTTCACGTTCCCCAGTGTAACATAGGGCTTCAAACTAGTGGCTTGAAGTGTCTGTAGCAGTGTTTATTTTTACAGGATGGGGTTGCTAGTCTCATGCCCAACCTTCCCTCTTCACCAGCATTATTTCTAGCTTAGCGAGTTAAAGGAGTGCGTCTGTGGCCGGGGGTCGGACCCCGGACTATGTGCATGGTCGGCGAGCGTTCTAACCGCTATGCCACCGACTCTGGGCGTGGTGGTGTGCGCCTGTAATCTAGCTACTTGGAGGCCAGGGTGCGGGAGTTCTGGCATATGGGTGCTCATGTTGATTGGGCGTCCACGCTAAGAACGGTGCCGATATGGATGACCTATCGGAGAACGGGTTGTCCAGGTCGACTAAGGAGGGGCGCACCGGCCCAGGGGGGAAATGTTACTTTTAGTTCCAATCAATTACTCCTTATCATTATATAAAAGAGTGTGTTCACATGTTAGATTGATTTATAATTTCGGGTTTTAACCAGTTGAGAAGAATCCAAGAAATAACTAAAAAAAAGAATGAGCTGAGATTATCCTGGAACATTTGTCGTTCTTTCTTTATTCATATTCTCTATAAGCTGATAACCCTGCCTAGGAACGGACCAGGATGTCAAATCGAGAATCGGGAAGGCGAGAAACACATTCATCAACCTGAAAACAACCAATCTGGAAATCTTCCGCTGTCACTCAACTCAGCCTGCATCAACAAAAAAATTATTCGGATTTTCAATACAAACAAACGTCAAGTCAGTCAGTCAGTTCTTCTATACGGATGGATCAGAAAGTTGGCGGCGGGTCACAAAGAATATTTCCAACAGCCTGTTGCAGACCTGTAACAACAACAGCTGTCTTCGTTGGCTCTATACTGAAGATCAGATGGCCGGAAAGAACAAGAAACAAAACAAGAACCAATCGCTCAACAAATATGCAGGAGAAAGTGGAGATGGATTGGACACTGGCTGAGGTGGCTGCTGGGTGACATCGCGCGTCAGTCAGGCCAGTGCTCGAGTGGAACCCGAAAGGTAAGTGGCGAGTGGGACGTCAGTGCAAGGGTGACATGGAGGAGGTCGTGTGAAGAGGAGTTGAAACAGTATGTGATAACATGGATGGAGGTGAAAAGTACAGCAGAAGACAGAAGCAAGTGGAGACGTGCAGTTGAAGCCCTATGTTCCACTAGGAACCCAAGGGAACAATAATAACAATATAATAAGCTGGTAAATTTGATATCTAACAGTATGTCTGTCAATCACTGACTCACGTCTGAATACCAGGCTTCTAGAGATTCTCCGGGATTTCTTTTGATCTAGAAGGAGGGTAATGAATGAAATCTTTGCACATATAGACCACCACCGAAACAACATCAAAAAAGAACTTCAGAGCCGTAGACAATTAATTCATTTAACCGCGTTTATAACTGCGATGAACCACAATTATGAATCTTAACACTAAGTAATGTTCACTATCATCAGTATGCTTTATTTGTGGAACAACAGTGGTGAATATTTCAAACATTATTTAGCATAACAAACAGAGATTGTTGAATTTTCAAGTGTTATTTTGTATGAATTTCATTGTTTTCCAGTTAATTGATGGATAGAACCAGTGAAAACTAACTATGCGTTCTGGACAGCCGTTTTGTTCTTGTTTGGGACTCTTCAGTGGTACACTTCTATAACCCCACCATAAATCAAACCCAAAACATTCGGGCTCCAAGGTGCGTTCACTGATCATTCATCCACTTGGGTAGGAATACAATGAATGACCCATCACTTCTACGAATTCACGGTACATAGCCAGCCAGCCAATCTCATCGGCCAGTAGTTCTCCTCAACATCTGATCACGAATTCTCATTAGAAATTTTGGGTGATTTCATTCATTTCATTTCAGTCATTTCATTCACTCCACAGTATTAGATTAGTTTTCAACTGTTATTTTGTAGGGATTCAATTTGTCTCAGATTTTATCATGGACCTTGACTCTAGGATCCGATCCTCTGTCGCGTGCTTGTGAAGAGTCCTGGTTTTTTCAATGGATCTGTAACTTATGTCAATCCGTGATCAAACTTAAATTAGCCATATAGCAAAAATATTCATTCAGACATCTATAAAACATAAAATAGTCTAGCAAAGAATATTCTTTTCGATAAGTTCCTCTTCCGGCTCTACAATTATGTATATATATATATATATATATATTTATATACATAAAATATTTTTAATAAGTAGTCCATAACAATATTAGTGCCTTAGAAATGCGGTAAAAAGAGCACTCATTGCTGCTGAATTACGCTGTTTCTTTAAAACCACTCCTCTTTTGCCTTCGGGAGTAAAAGACAAACTGCCTGCCTAATTTCGCCTCTTCCATGTGTATATACCAATTCAACTGCTCCTGTGGAGTGAGCCAGTTACATAGGCCGTACAATTAGGCGTGTTTCTCGTCGAATTTCCGAACATCACCCTGCCTGGTTAAGCAAAAGACGAACAAAATCTATTCGCAGCGCTATTCTGTCTCATCTTGTGGAGACAGAACACAAGATTGACATTAGTCATGCTTTCAGGGTCATTTACCGCATACCTACGAATCTCAATTTCGCTTTAAGAGTTCGACTACTAAACATTGCTGAGGCTGGCTGTGGGGATCCATATTAACAAGTCTAATTTATGCATCCAAAAGACGTTAGTTCAGTCATTATCATTACCTTGGCCATCTATGTTTGAATGATCCGGAATTTTCCTAATTTCAGTTGATATTCTATTCGCTATTATATCTTTATTATTATTATTATTATTATTATTATTATAATTTAAGCATCTTTAATGAACTGTAATTGCATTGTGATCTTACTTTACAAATCGATATTATTTAAAAAACGCTAATATTGTTACTGACTACTAATTTAAAATATTCTGTGTATATAAACATATATATACATAACTGTAGAGGCGGAAGAGGAACTTATCGAAAAGAATATTGAGAATTTAGAATGCTTTTCTCCTTTGGGTTGTTTACTCTATGTACTCATCAGAAAGAAGCTTTATCCCTTGGACTGAAATTTTGTTTTCCTCGCACGCAATTTACGGATTTAGCCATTCATGCTGAGTTTGAAAACTTATATGACCAACTCAAACCTCTTGCCGCAAAATCCGATGAAGATCGGGGTTGGTTTAAGGCCAAGATGGTGGATATAGCTCATCAGTTCTTAAACAACAACCCAAAGGAGAAAAGAATATCCTTTGCTCGATTATTTTGTGTTTTATTACACTAGAAGTGGTCTACTTATCTAAGATTGTCATTATCAATTAATCGTAATCTACTGACTTCTTTGAAGCATTAATAATACTAAAATGCATGTCACAGTGACTCTTTTTCGGTCAATTACTTCACAATGTTAAAAGCAGATGTAACGATAATAATAATGTGTGTTTTCTTTTCAGTATTTATTTTTTCTCAATATTAATGTACTTGTTTTTTTTCTGTTTGTTTATTTGTCCATTCGTTCTACATAATTGTTTTTCTAATCTAAACTATTGAACAAAGTTCAATGAAGCTGTTTAAATATTAACTCGTGTACAGATATTTGTATATCTCTTTTTGTTTGCATTTCAAACAATTTTAAAAGTGGTTTAAGCTGTTGTTATCTTAACAATTATGCTAATTAAGTATAATGGCATAATTCATTGTTATGTTTACGTAAAGACTTCAGTAGTATATATACATGTACATCTTTTTTTAGATACTTCAATATTAAATTATAAAGCTGAAGGCTTTTTATGACGTGTATTTATTCGGATGTCATCTGAATTGATGACAAACATTGATATTCCTCAGGCATGCCCATTGTCCCTAATGCTGCAATTGAAATTAACAGAGCCGCAGAGTTAGAGCTATATGCTCAGAAGAAGTAATTGAAGATAAATTAAGCATTGTAAATGATACTTTGATCGAAAATGGTTATCCTGATAAATTTATCAAGAAACATATGACAAAGAAAGCGGAAAAGGACTACTCACCGTCTGTAAACAAGAAGCCTTATGTATACGACTGCAATTCATGGGCGATATACAAAGCGAGATAATTACGAAGAAGTTAAGAAAATCAGTTCAAAGAACTTTCATGCTGGCGAACTACACGTATTATTCTCTACACAACCGATGATGCTACCTCGACCGAAAGATGCAGTACCTAGACTAGCCACTTCAAGTTGTATCTATCAATTCAACTGCGCTTGTGGAGCGAGTTATATTGGCCGTTGCTCTAGGAACTTGATTTTTCGTTCTCACTGGAGAACATATCCCACCATGGCTAAGTAAAGGTGTAGTTAAAACTATTAACAGCTCAATTTCAGACCATCTGCTGCAAACCGGTCACAAAGCCAGCGTAGAAGAATCCTTCTCTATAATATACCGGGTGCCTAACAAATTACCAAAATCGTCGAAACACCGCATGCTTCAAACAGCAGAGGCTATTGCAATTCGCCTCAAACAACCAGTGCTCTATGTTCAAAAGAAAGAAGTCCAGCACCTACTACTACCCTGACCAGCCTTCAGTAGAGACTATAAACTCATGAATTTGTACTATTATCTTTCATAATTCTTCTGACATTCAGTTTATTTTATGTTGATGCTGTTCAGCTGTAATCTACCAATATTATTGATATGATGTTATTTAAACAGCATTGATGTCGTTCATAAGACTAATTCATTCATTCATTATAATGTATATATAATTGTAGAACCTGATGATGAAGAGGTTATCGAAAAGAGTACTCTTTGTTCCGTGTCCATT